GGGGAGTGTGGTGCACCAGAGGGAGTGGGATGCATCAGATGGAGTGTGGTGCACCAGAGGGAGTGTGGTGCACCAGAGGGAGTGTGGTGCACCAGAGGGAGTGTGGTGCACCAGTGGGAGTGTGGTGCTGATGGTGTTGTTGTTGCAGGCGTCGCGGCGGCGGCCCATCAGAGGGACGCTGCACGTCTCCGGCGACGGCCTCAGAGTCGTGGACGACGAGACCAAGGTACCGTGTGCCGTGCGTACCGTGAGTGCCGTGCGTACCGTGAGTGCCGTGTATATCGTGCGTGCCGTGTACCGTGTGTACCGTATGTGTCGTGTGTGCCGTAGTATGTGTCGTGTGTGCCATGTAGTGTGTACCGTGTACCGTGTGTGTAGTGTGTGCCGTGTACCGTGTGTGTAGTGTGTGCCGTGTACTGTGTGTGTAGTGCGTGTCATGTAGTGTGTGCCGTGTACCGTACCGTGTAGTGTGCGTCGGTGTACCATGTGCACCGTGTACCGTGTGTTTAGTGTATACTGTGTATCATGTTCACCGTGTACCATATATTTAGTGTGTACTGTGTACCATGTGCACCGTGTACCGTATGTGTAGTGTGTACAATGTACCGTTTGTAGCATGCATACCCTGTACCTTTTGTACCGTGTACCTGGTGCCGTGTAAGTCTTTTCTACTATGTGTACCGTGTGTGTCAGTTATACTATGTATTCCGTATACCGGGTGACGTGTGTCGTGTCTAGCATATGTGTCATGTGCCTCGACCTTATACCGTTATACAGTCAGCTTCGAGTGTCGAGTGTAACGCGAGTGTAATTGATTAAATAATATAATATAATAACACTCTTATGTTAATCTGTTCCGTGTTTTTATAAAAGTATATTGCATATAATTACCGTTTGCCACAACTTTTCAATGTCGTCAGAATGTTCGAACTCTACGCCCAAACGCTATCTATCAACTATTATATTAAAAACACCGATCTGAAAAAATTCTGTCGCTGGCATTTTATTACAATTGCTTTCTGTTCATTAAAACTTTATTTCAGGTAGATGAAATGTAGAAATTGGCAAAGAACAGTTTAAAAAATCACATTTGAAGTACGGAAACAAGCGTAGCAATCGTATTCATGATTGCTAAACGGCCTAATTAAAGCTCTTGAGCTCAGCCTTAAAGCTCTTGAACACAGCCTTAAGCTTTTGAGCACAGCCACAAGATATATAGCGTTATTGCACGAGTTCGCTACTGAGTCAGCAAAGCGCACTAAACCGAGGTTAAACCTCACCGTAAAGCTGACAGGACACAAATGACCAACCGACTCACTGCCGCTAAGACTTGCCCCTAATATTACGAACTAGCCTACCGTTGAAGTAAGGTCGGACATCAATGTTACTCAGGCGACTACGCCAAACGTGGCTGTATTATTATATTCTCGGGATACACATAAACGAATGTGCATGAAAGGATTATACGAATGCTGATTTATAATGACTGGTAACAGTGAACGCGTTCCCAATTCACATGTTACCCATACGTTTCATGTCCATGTGTTACACACCGTTACACCTGTGTGTGCTGAGTGTAACGTGAGTACATACTATGCAGTGTTCTTATAAAGGTGTTGTATACCGTACCATGCACGGCACCACACCACCCTATACAGTGCTTCATTACCGTGCAGGGTTTGCTGGTGGACCAGACCATCGAGAAGGTCTCCTTCTGCGCGCCCGACCGCAACCATGAGCGCGGTTTCTCCTACATCTGTCGTGACGGCACGACACGGCGCTGGATGTGCCACGGCTTCGTGGCCATCAAGGAGACGGTGAGTGGCACACGGCGCTGGATGTGCCACGGCTTCGTGGCCATCAAGGAGACGGTGAGTGGCACACGGCGCTGGATGTGCCACGGCTTCGCGGCCATCAAGAAGACGGTGAGTGGCACCACGACCGTCGGTCCAGCACTGAAGAACTAACACCCGTCCTGGTATCGGGTTGCTGGCACCCGTGTGGTGACAGGTACAGGAGCGGGAGCACCTCCCCTAGTGCTGGCATGGATCAGTAGTATGCACGGGTGGTGAGGATCACTTCTTCCTCTCCAGTTCATATAAAATCCACTCACTTCAGCCACCTCCGCCGTCCTGTACTTACACCACATCCCCCCCCCTTGTACTCACCACACTCTCCCCCTTGTACTCACCTCCTTCCTCCACCCTGTACTGATTTTCCACCCCTGCAATGTAATACTCATCCCCTACCCTGTACTCACCCCTTTACCCCGTAGGGTGAGCGGCTGAGTCACGCGGTTGGGTGCGCCTTCGCTGCGTGTTTGGACCGCAAGCAGCAGCGGGACAAGCAGTGCGGGGTGACCATGACCTACGACCCCAGCAGCGCCGCCTTCACCCGCATGGGCAGCTTCAAACAAATGAGCATCACCGAGCGTCTCGCTGACCCACAGGAGTGCAAACCCAGTGGGTGCTGGGGGAGGGGTTGTGTGTGCGTGTGTTGTGGGTGTAGTTGATGGGTGTTGTGTGTGTAGTTGATGGGTGTTGTGGGTGTAGTTGATGGGTGTTGTGTGTGTAGTTGATGGGTGTTGTGTGTGTAGTTGATGGGTGTTGTGGATGTAATTGATGTGTATTAATGTGTGTTGTAGGTGGATTCACGGGTAAGAGTTATGATGGCTCCATCCGCATAGATAGCTTGAATGAAGTGACCATCACCCAACACCTCGGTTAATTCCAGCACTTCTAGCCCGTCGCTTGCTGGGTGAGGTGCGAACGATGGTAGGTGTGGGGGATGGGGGGCGTGCTGGAAGTGAAGTCTTTGAAGATTGCTGTGCATGAAGAGTGCATAGGAGGATGTAAGAGTGAGACTAATAATGAAGTGCGAGTAATCGAATATACCGGGCGTCATCCGTGCGATTTCCCCGCGTGGACTTCAATTTCCCCCGTATGAGGCAGTCATCCCTTGGGTGTATCGCAGTGGGTGTATCGCAGCGTGATAAGAAGGGCTCGGTGGTTGTAGATGTGAACTGAACGACGACCTCGGTACTGCCTTGACATTGGGGGTCCTGGAAAGAGAAGTCCCTCCTCTGCGTGGAGAGGCTTAGAATGCGAGTTGAAGTTAGGGAGTAGTTTGGGAAGGGTGTGTTGGAAAGACGCCCTTGGGTAACTGTTGGAGCTGAAGAAAGAAAAAAATGAGATGAGCCGTTCGAAGTCGGAATCAAATCCAACCAAATAGTTGGAGGACTAAACAAATAGTTTAGTCCTCCTTTAGTGGAAAGAGGCCTTGCTATCAACAACGTTTAATTAAACATATAAATCTATTTCTCATCTGCATTTTGTGGACTTTGTTTGAAAAAACCGTCAATAATTGCTGATAATAATAAAGCTGCCAATAATTGTCTCCACGTCTCCCCCTGACCCGTCCACTCCCCCAGGCAACAACGGGCTGACGTCGCCCACCTCGTCCGTGGGGGGCAGCAAGCCCGTCCTCCCCCACGCCATCGAGCGCCCCCACGCCACCCCCTTCCTGCTGCAGCGCCAGGGCTCCTGCCGCGCCTTCCAGCACCTCAACCAGGTAATGCTATTCCTACCTGTTGTCCTCACCATGTTATTCCTACCTGTTGTCATCACCATGTTATTCCTACCTGTTGTCCCCACCATGTTATTCCTACCTGTTGTCATCACCATGTTATTCCTACCTGTTGTCATCACCATGTTATTCCTACCTGTTGTCCTCACCATGTTATTCCTACCTGTTGTCATCACCATGTTATTCCTACCTCTTGTCCCCACCATGTTATTCCTACCTGCCTCCCCCACCATGTTATTCCTACCTGCCGCCCCCACTATGTTATTCCTACCTAATTCGTGCGTGTTGGTGCAGGCGTCGCCCTTCAAGCGTCAGTTGTCCCTGCGTCTCAACGACCTGCCGTCCAACATCGAGCGCCAGCGGGACGGCGTCCACATCACCGGCGTCCCTCGTCCTGCCGTCCCTCCTGCAGGTGTGTTCTCCTCCCCCCATGCAGGCGAGCCCCCCCCCTCTCCACGCCATCTCTCGACTGCCCCCAGCCATTGTTTCCACCTCTTTTTATATTTTTGCAACCCCCATGGCCGGCGTTGTTCCTATAACTTAATCGTAAACTATAGAGTCACTTATGTGATGTACCTGTATTTATCTCACTATTTTTCTAAATATAACCAGAAAAGTATCATTATTTCCTACACTAACCAGTCCATCCCCTTTGCTCTCCTCCATAATAAACGGCATATAGTTTTTTATTATTCATTTATTTTGCTATCTCGCAGCCAAGGTATTACTTATTGTACTATATCTTTGATTTTGAATGTATTCATTTTTCTATTCGTAATTGTGTTATTTTTTCCTGGCAGTGCCGCCAATACCAGAGGACGCGGCTGACCCTGTCAGCGCCATGTGCCAGCAGCTGTCCCAGGAGCTGTCAATTATGTCGTCTGTCACCGCTCCTGTCACCAGCAACACCTTTACCCACCTGCCCACTCATACTGGTGGGTAAACCTGCTCACTAGCACTAATTTTACCCACCTGCCCACTCATACTGGTGAGTAAACCTGCTCACTAGCACTAATTTTACCCACCTGCCCACTCATACTGGTGGGTTAACTTCTGAGCATTTCGGGAGAGTTCACCTGGTCGCAACGGTGCTAGAATTAGCACCAGAGGAGCTACTGTCCGGTGTCAATCTGGCGTCTCATTATAATTATATTATATGATTAGATCATATGTAATTGAGACGTAATATTCACTTGACCTGATAGAGATTGATGACATGAGTCAGCATCTGGAGGACATCGCGTGATAGATCAGGCTATTAAGACCTTAGTAGTGGGCGGAAGCGAAGGCTCTATAAGGGCTGACAACCTTAAGTAAGGCCCCCAGTAGTTGATAAGCACTCTGCGATGTAACGTGTCGCTCGGCTCTCCGACCTTACGGTCGACGCCGTAGCTTATACCTCTGTATCGCAACTCTGTATTACCACCCCGTATACAAGATACGTTATCTGGACTTATGTGTCTTACTTATCCCTCACTACCTTAGTCAACGAAACCCGATACTCAAGTAAAGCTTAATAGGTGAGTGCTGACACTACGATAAATATAAATAAGAGATAATGCAAGTTTTCATCATTAGATGTCAGGTTTCATTATTAAATGTCAGGTTTCTACCATAGAATGACAGTTTTTTCAATGTATGTCAGTTAACTTTATCATTTGATGTAATTTTTTCAACATGCGATGCCATTTTACCGAGAGGGGGAGGTTACAGGTTAAGCTGGGTAATGTTATCGCGGCACGATAAATAATTATTTTGTTATCGATCCAAGAAAACTAATCGCTTTGTTATCTCACTATGAGAAATGGTTTTATTAATGCACCAAGAGAAGAAATGGTTTTGTCATCACAGTACGAGAACAAATGGTATTATTAACGCACTAATAACGCATTGTTGTGTCATCACAGTACGAGAACAAATGGTATTATTAACGCACTAATAACGCATTGTTTTGTGCAGTTGTGGCGCCCTCGGTAGCGCCCATACGGGAGGAGGTGACGGTGGGGGATTTTGAAGCCCCAGTAAGGGGCGGGGCGCCGCCCGTTGGGGGCGAGACGACGTCCAAGGCGGAAGCTTGGCTGGCGCAGTTCAGCGCAACGTCCCGGCCCGTCCACGGCGTCCACGCGCCTGCCCCTGGGTACCTTATTTTTATTAAAGCCTATGTGTAATACATTACTTTCATATTTTTGTGTAATATAATATATTTTTTCTAATAAAAGTATAAATAAGTAATATACCAGGATTACTTTTTATACTTTTTTACTAGACTTTTTTCCGCATGTGTAATATATTACTTATATAAAAGAAACGATAAATCAATCTGGGACACTATATGTCGCCAACCTAAGTATCTGATCAATCAAATTAATGTTGATATTCTTCAACATTTAACATATTAAATGAGGCGATTTTTCAAATCGTTTTTTCTGGCGGAGATTTTACTTGCGAAAATAATAGTAGTTTAGGCGGAATTTTTGGTGCGTCGTGCCCTTGTGGCATCGTGCCCTTGGTGCGTCGTGCCCTTGGTAACGTGCTCTTGTGTTGCAGGAACACCGCACCCCAGCGACGCAACCCTCCGATGTCGCAGCTCAGGGCCAACACCGTCGCTACGTCACAAGCCCAACAAGTCTGGACCTCACCCCCTCCCAACCCCACTCCCGCCGTAGCCCCTCTCATTCCACTCTCCCCACAATCCTCAAATTTCCCCTCAAACAACTTTTCGACTACGCTCCCCACCAACGCCAGCCCCGACCCCTTCGGCTGGTCTACCTCTTCCCCTCATCCCCCCACCATTGCTCCCCCGCCTTTAAACCCTAACAACCCCTTCCTTCCAACCCCCTCCAAGGCCTTCGAGGTTCACATGTAGCCCCGAGGGTGTGCTCCCCTTGGGGATGAGGTGGGGTTGGGATGACATATTCAGGAGTACGTCGTGGGGATGAAAATACACCCAACGGTGGTTGCCTCCCCCTCCCCGCCTCCAGCATGTACATATATTGTAGGGATGTACTCGAGGAAGGCAGTCCACGCGAGTCTATGTTGTCTTAGTTTGTACATGTGCGCTCAAGTGCACCATTATCAGGTGCATTAGTATCGGGTGCACCAATATAAGGTGCAACAGTACCAAGTGCACTAGTATCAGGTGCACCAGTACCAAGTGCACCAGTACCAAGTACACCAGTATCAGGTGCACCAGTACCTAGTGCACCAGTACCAAGTACCTACACCAGTATCAGGTGCACCAGTACCAAGTGCAGCAGGATCTGGTGCACCAGTACCAAGTGCACTAGTATCAGGTGCACGTGTATCAGGTGCACCAGTATCAGGTGCACCACTTCATCTCCATTCCGAACCGCATTCCGTGCACTGCCAGTCTCCCACGTTTGTATTTCTTTGTATATTTTGTGTTTTGCTGTCTGTGTTCCTTTGACCATCATGCATATAAGACACACATGCTTAGCCAGTCCCTTGTGTGGGGTTTGAGGATGTATATCTCTGTATATCTCGTGTTGCTGCCTGTGTTTTTCAAATCAAACGCAATGGCTCATGTCCTTTGCTTGATCAGAATGCTTGACTTCGTTGGTACATATCGTGGCATGTTCATCTGTACATATGTACAGCACATTTAAGCCGCCATGCATGTTCATCTGTGCATATGTACAGCCCACACCTGCTACGGCAATAATCATTACAATTAGCACAGTGTGTGGAGTAGCAAATGGCTTTCTAAACGCCGGCAAGTCTCGTGTATATTACTGTAGTTGAAAACAGTATATAATGTATGTCGCTTTCAGCGCACGATTATTACGAATAAAGCTGTATTTCCTGTAGAATTTTAACGATGAATTATTAATAATAATACATGACGTGTGTTGAATTGCTGGCGTGAGTGCGATTAGGCGCGTTGCCTTCAGCTTTGTGGTCTCTCAGCTTTGTGGTTCCTCAGCTTAGTGGTCTCTGAGCCGTATGATGAGATGTATGTGATGTCAAGCTGAAAGATGTAACATCTCTGGTGCGCGTCTCGTGTAGCGTCCGCGTCACAATAAACGTAGCAAAGCTTGAGACTTTTCTTGTCCCGGTCACCTCCTGCTGCTGAGTCGCTGCCTGCAGGTAAGTTGATACTTGTAGGAATGTCGCCAAAACAAATAACTGCCCGCCCGTTAGATCACATGCTACTACTGCAGCATGTCAATTAAACGCAGCCACAGACGATGTGGCGTGCGAGAGGAGAGAATAGAAAAGATGGAATAATTTCAATTTTATAGAAGAAATTGATGACTTGAAGGAGCTGTATCACTAGTACACTAAAGGTCTAATTGGTCTCGGTATTAAGCTCGTAGGGTTGGATTCGACTTGCCTGCTTGTAGGACGAATAGTTTTTCTTTTCGAACATTTTCGACCATTGCCAAGATCGCACCCGGCGGCGGTCTCGCTTGACGGGCTAGTTTTTACGAATGCAGGATTTCTTGCTGTTTCCTTCCTTATAGATTTTGGCATGTGTCTACTGCGTTTCTGTTACTGTTCACCTTCACTTTACTGCTATATTAATCCTTGAAAATATGAACCAAGAATATTCTTCACAGGCGGTATCGTTAGCATAAATATTTTTACACTTGATTGCGTTTATTATTTACGTGATGACTTTATAATTGTTTGATTGACTTTCTTAAATCTGAATCACATCGGCGTGATGGTAATTACTGATTTGAAGTTGATTTATTGATATCAATTAGAAGCGCCTCAACTCAATTAAATTGACACAAATTAATTATGTGTTTTATAAATATCCATGTGTTCTGAACCAAGTCGCAGCTCCATCAAGTATGGCCCAATAGATTTGAACTTCAACTTTTCAAAGCAAATGAAACAACGTGTAGGCCCAACATATGGTTGAATTAATTATTAATTCCTCCTTGGGTCCACCATACCCGCTCAACGAGTTGGCGACATGTTCGCGGGACTACGGACGGAAGAATGACACAGATTATATACTATGTTTTAATTCCAGTCCTGATTATCGGGTAGAGCACTCGCTAGGAGAAACGCCTTGCACGACCAACTGGAAACTTTAGTTGAAACTTTAGTTTAGTTACTTAGTTTAAGTTTAGTTATAAGGGTTCAAGTATCAATGAAGGATTGCTAAAAATTAATCATTCAAGCATGATTAAACGAAAATTTTATAGCACATTCAAATTTAAGATTATCCAAGCAGTTCTGAGTAAAAAACCTGTAAAATCTAAATAACACATTTCTGCAAAAAAGAGATTAGAACTCAACAGAGTTCCAAATGTTTTTCGGGTTTCACCCGAAAAAAAAAATATATCTAAAAAGAAAATTGCTTATGATAAATCCTTTCTTCAAATTCGCTCGATTTTTTTGTACCATCTGATTAATTACATTATCACATATTCCTAAAGGGAAAAATCCCATTGACTATAAATAAATAATTCAAGAGAACCGCAAACTGATAATTGACTCATACTCAACAGTTACGGTAGCCAAGAAAAAAGTGGTGTATTTAAGTTTTTAACTGTCCAATTTATTAACACTTCAAATTACTAATACAATATCTCGAATTTGTTATACTTCTTGTTGAGTGTTTTTATGAAATGAAACTAATGGGTGGCCCTCAACCAGATTATGGAGCATATTTCCTTAAGAAAATTATAATTCCTAACAGCAAGAGAATGTATAAATAAATTTCCCGTGACGCGCTGGCTGACGCGATCACAACAACAGACTCAGCAGATTAGATGACGCACGACCAAGGTGCAGATTTTCTGAGCGTCCAGCAATAGCACTTCATAAATGCGGGGGACAAGACCTGCAACTGATTTTTTTGCCACATGACCGTATGGTGCATTAAGGAAAGGGCCGAAATGCCGACAAACAATTGATTAAAATTACAATGTGATTTTATCTGTGATTAAAATACACCTTAGGTCTTTATAAAATCAGTTCTGTAATATTTATTTATCAACCTCGACTCTAAGCAGATCAGTCGATGTTATACTGCCAAACACTACACGAACAATGCGACATTCAAACAATAAACGCAGTTCTCCACCAACAAGCACACAAAACCTGGTCCACCATAAAGACAAATGATCCCCAACTCTTTAATTAGCTCACATTCCCTCCAGGCTCCAGGCGCCATCGCGAGGCAGCACAGGCTATTTAAAAGCTCCAAATTACATGCACTAAGTCCCTCACCTCTACCCCTGTACAAATAATTACACAGCGGGCCAAGCTGCACCCGGACGGAGTTGTTCTAATCACGGTTTGGGTTTAGCTGGTCCCAATACAACACATTACTAATCATTCATGACACCATCACACTGACGGACTGGCGTTACTCACCGAGAGTGACGTACAGTAACTACGAGACAGAAAACCCAATACCTTTTCATCTCCTACTGTCTTTTCATTTTCTCCTTCTTTTTTCTGGCCATTCTGCGCCACCTCTTGCTCTCTTCCACACTTTCCTAGTGGCACTGCAACAAGTCGATGTGATGCCGCAAAGGACAAATTTTTAAGCGTCTAGCAGTATCACTGCATACATGCAAGGAACAAGATTACAACTGAAGTTTCTTATACGTTATCTTTTAGCGCATCAAGGAAAGGCTGACTATCAAATATTAAAATCTTAAATTCATAAAAAAATATAAATTTGTTCCTTTAATAAAATTAGTCTCGCAAGAAGCAATTAAATTGGAATGAACTTGTGAAGCAACCCTTTCAAATTTCATTTTGACGCCATCCAGTGTTCGAAAAAAGTTAATTACGAGCCAACCAAATCTGAATGTGATTTTAAAAATATGGATTAGTCCATATATGTAACTGCAATGGTGTTAGCAACGCAGCACCAATCGAAGAAAATTGCAAGGAGTTGACTCAGTTCAGGTTCTAAATGAGTTATATTAGTGTTTACCCTCAAAACTTTTCTATCATCAACAATCACACAAAATAGTTTTGAGGTATACTGTAAATTAGATCAAAACTTATCGAATGAAGCAAGGAGCGGCTCTTTCCTCCTTAGTGAGTTTTTTTTTTTTATCACAAGGTGGAATAATTGTTCATTAATTGCACATCTGATGTCTGAACCTTTGCTTCCATTCTCTGTTATCTGCGGAGCAGTTATCCCTCCGACGATGTATGAACCTTTGATGCCGACAGTCGGACAGTCGACAGACCCAACATGTTCACGATGTCAGACTTCAACTGCAAAAACTTTGCTAATTTTTCGTTAAAAACTACATAATTTTGAGCACATCACTTGATCTCTTGTATTACCCCCCATATTCTTCTCCAACTTCAGAAAAATAGCACAATTAATGCTCGAAAAAAATGTTCCTGGCGCTCATTATGGAGGTGCATCTAAAATGAATTCATTAAAAATTGATGAGAAACGAGTTTTAAGACCAGTTATTAATAATTTTCAGAGGTGACGGACGGTACGGACATCGGTATATTTAGTATGTGCCGTTAGTGTACTAAATGATCCGGTTGCCACTGAGACGAGAATAAGATCGCTGGACACCAGTCACGATTATTTATTCGTTAACACATTATTTTTCTCTCCATGATAAGTCCTATCAATTCGTTCCACACCAGCATTTAGAAAATCGACTCTCCAGCACATGAATAATTGTTTGAATAATACCTGGATACAAGTTTATTTAAATTAAAATGAAAAGAAGATTGAATACCATTTTACCCAATTTATATTATCAATTAATTTCAGATCGTTGTTTTGTGACAACACTGATTATTTTGTATAGCTTTTTGCACCTTTCCTGCATCATTGAAATACAAATGAATTCGAAATTCAATGATGGTTGAAGCAAGTGTTTTATAATTATTATGTGCAAAATTTCATTAGGGGTAAACAGCAAATTCACAAGCTTACTTGCAGATTTTACTATTAATATCAGAAGACAGATATATTAGATATATCTTTGTAATTATGATCTCTAACAGGTAAGATTTTGAATTGGGAAGCATTCAACGCGATTCCAGGGAACCAAAATTCATATAAAATCAAATATGAAGAAATTGCCACACATTCCGACTTTCTTATTCTGTTTTACAATCGTCAGATCAAGTCAAGGGAATTGACGGCCACTCATGCCTTCGTGATCTTCGTGTAGAGTCGCTTCGCCCACCACTCCTCGAAGTTTAGTGGCTTGAAACCTGAAAAAAAAAAAATTTATTCAATCAAAGTCGTCACAGGACGTAGCGAATTAATTACAGTTTGAGTACTTCTGTGATCAAAACCCCTTCTGAAATTATTCCTATTGGTCCATGTACGGGCACTACAATAGTACAACTTAGTAACTTGACAAGATAGATTTGACTATTTAAATATCAGCACTTCAAGTTGATGGTTAAAATATGCGTAACTCGAGTAAAACAACCAAGATATCTTCTAAAATTTGACAAGATAAAAGGCGTACAACTCGTGCACAGAAAATGACTTGCAATACAATAAATTCGATCAGGTGGAGAAAATTTGAAAATGAAGAAGAAATCAGGGTTGGCGATTTTTTTGATTTTTTTAAAAAAATCAAAAAAATCAAAAATCAATGATTTTTTTTTATTTTTTCATGATTTTTTTGATTTATTTGATTTTTTTGATTTTTTCAACTTTTTTGTCTTTTTGAAGTGGTATTTTTTATGTTGCAATTAGCCTAACTAACAATAACAGTATATGGATCATTTATAAAAAAATCAAGTGATTTAATCACATGATTTAATCATTTTGATTTAATCATTGCCAACCCTGGAAGAAATTATTCCATTATGCAACAAATAAGAATATTAAGACGACTTATTATACAAACTAAGATGGAACTTTCGAGATCACTTTTCTGTAAAGGCACTTCGCAATTTGCATACAACCTATAATCTTACCTTCCATTATTGGATGAACTTCTTTGCATTCATATACTGTTATCCGGTTCTTTCCTGAAAATATAATCTTCGTTAAGGTGTGATCAGAGGTAAATACAACGGAATAATGAGCTCATAATTTCAAATTATTTCTTATCTTCGTAACCAGCCTCCAGAAATATCAGGTAACCCCAAAACACTAACATCTCAAGTTCAATGACAAGGGATCTAGAATTATTTCGAAGTTTTCCTCTTAGTCATGCGTGTGCTACGTATTAACGAGTATATCATAGAATATTTGTGTAATGAACTATGTTCTAAAAATTCGCAATGAGACCCTTAATATATGCCGAGACACGATTCTCTGAGATCGAATTACAAGCCTCGACTCAATGGGACTATTCATTGCAATCATAGAGCTATAGAGGTGGAGTAGTAATCGCTCTCGAACTGAAAATGATGGATACTGACGCTTCAGATGTTGCTCTTATATATCTATTTGAAATTCTATAGTTGCGTAGCGAGCGACCAAATGGTTCATAGTACAGGGTCCGCCATATTTATGGCAACGCATTTTTTTGTTATTTCTCAATGAAACTGGCAGGTGCATTGTTTTTTATTGGATGAGCTAGTAGCCAAGAATTACCTAAACAATTCTCAGACATATTTATTCAATATGACCACCCTTATTTTTTAATGACGGCCTACAATCTACGGAGGAAAGCTTCACAAGAGACACGCAGCATTTCTTGAGGGATCAAGTCCTATTCTCGTGTCAATTTAGACTTCAAACTATCCAAAGAATCATGAGGTGTTCTGCAGACCCTACTCTCTAAAATAGCCCACACAAAAAGTCTAGAGGATTCAAATCAGGGCTTCTTGAGGGCCATTTATTTTTGCTAATGAACGCTGGGATGTGACCCTGAATCCAGTTTTGGGTAATGTTTGTTTTGAGCCATGTGATGGGGCAGAGTCTTGTTGAAAACTCCATGGTGAGCTGTTGAAGTGTTTACGGGCCGAAGGTAACAACACAGCTTCCAAAATGTCCGAAATGTATCGCTGACTGTTCAATTTCACTCCTGAGGGAACAAAAATGAGTGGGGACCTCCCAGTGGCGGTTACCACGGCCACGGACATGGGATTTTGACGTCGTGTTGCTGTTCTGGCTGCCACAGATCCATCCCGACTCCAAACTCCGTCATTTTGACGGTTAACGCCTTGTTCAATGTCAAATTTTTTCTCGTCACTGAACACCAAGTTGGGCAGCGTGCCATCCTCAATGAGACCCAGAATGTGCTGGCATCTTTCGAGCCTCATTCGTTCATGGCGGTCTGTTAGTTTATGCCTTGTTTGCATCTTGTAAAGGGATGTTTTGAGGTCATCTTTGAGGACTCTACGCATTGATGTCTGACTGACTCCTGCTTCTGCAGCCAATTTTGCAGCTGATGGACGAGGGTTTCTCCTCAACTTCTTCCTCGTGTTTTTAACCAATTGTTTTGTTCGGACACGTCATTTCCTTCCTTGATCAGGTCGATTGCATGTTTCACCAGTTTCCTTGAATTTTTTTACCACATTCTACACAGTTTCACGACGAATTTGGAGCTTTTTTGCAATGACTGAATTACTCTTGCCCTTTCATGAAGGGTTACAATTGCATTTCCATCTACTGCCTTAATTAATAGTAAATTTAGACACCTTAGACTTCTGCAATATAAAATAGATGAATTAATAGATGATATTAAGCTTCATTATAAAAGAAAAGTCTCCTAGAAACCAATCTATTTTTATATAGCAAGCATCCGTTGCCATAAACATGGCGGACCCTGTATTTGCGAGTTATTACATCAATAGAGAGCGTGGGATCTAGGGGGAAAGAGATATGCTATAGGTTTGAGGCATTGTGTTAGTAATTGCGGATAATATTTAGCACCGCCGGAAATGCGAGAATAATGTTAAAGACTTCGAGCGAAATGTACATTAAGGTATCGGAAATTATTCAACCAGAATACGGAAAAGCAGTTCAGAGATAACTGTAATCTAATGCCTACGTCCCTTTTTTACCAAAATTTCCAGGAAACTAGCAGTATCTCATTATCAAAGTACTAGAAAACTATATTCTTAGAATTTACAGGAGTTCAAGTATTTAATCGCAAGTTAATAATTATAAAAGTGTTTGTACTATTTCTGATATGTGATAAAATAGAAAAAAGTTTACCCACCTCTGTCGTCGTGGCCGTTTTGTCTGGACTGGTCAGCGTCCAACTCTTGCTGGAATTCGGCCCAAGCTGCGGAAGAAACCAAATTCAAACAGAGCTCAGGGCCTGATAAATGCAGGGAAGCATGAGCATGAAAACAAACATTTCGGCTGCTGGAATGTGCAACACTTATCGATCAAAAGTTAAACAAATTTATGTGAAAACACTGCATTGCATGAAGAATGACATACATGTGGATCTATGAATTATTTTGGAATGGTTTAATCTCGACTAACTAAAAAATATAAATATACGGAAAGAGAACTCGCACGTTATTTAGATATTTAGTACTAGGGTAATCTGAAACATTAGGGTAATAATAATAATTATCATTTAAAAACTACAATTCGCAGCCACCTATTCGATGTAAAGTAAGCCGCAGCGTCAGCTTTTTTATAGTGCAGCTTCCAAACTTGACTGTTCCATTAATAGTTTAATAATATAAAAAAAATTAAAAACATCATAGGAAAGAAAGACTACCAAATCATAAAATGATAAAAACTTGTTCGCGAACAATTTCATACGTTACAGTAATTAAGATACATTACTTGCAAACCTCGTTTACCGTAGTGCATTGAACCGACTTAAAAGAACAAAGTCATGCTGTATCAGGCAGCAAAAAAACCCTCGTGTTACCAGAGAACAAAGATAATATGCAGATGGACTTTCAGTAGACCGATAATGAATGTTTGATGGAAGAATGGGCTCTGACAGACGGCAAGATCATCTAGTTCACGGAGCATCTAGATGACGATGATAAGAAACGATAGTGAGCAGTCCAAGTGGAGACGTTACACAACACTTTCTTAGTTCTCACTGTCCTATAGTAATAATTCTTTAAAAGCAGTTCACGTGTGATGATATTCTTCGATTGAGATACTAAAATTTTACATGCTTGACATAAATGATTAATAAGAAAAATCAGAATTTTCTCATATTAGTTCTTAAGTGTTAAAAAGAGCCCATTTGCTGATAAGGAGATGTGAAAAGCGTGAGGCACAACAGACGAAATATGTCGCTGCATCGACACTGAGTGCTTTGTTACACAGACGTGTGATTGCTGAAGCTAACTTTACAAAAGAATTTCTCTAATTAATTAGAGCACTGGAACGCATATAAGTTTCTTTCACAGGATAGCGTAGTTGTGATGCGATCCTTTCGAGAGCAAGCCTGAATTCCTCGATAAATGTAGGTAGAAGAATAATGACTGAGCAGCTTCATGTTTCAAGATATAAATAAAAATTCCGATCAAATTTTTCAGAACGATCAATTCCGGTATAAATTTGGCAGAAGCTTTTGAAAAAGATCCTTGTATATGGCGCACAAAACCAGTAACCTTCGATGAGCGCAGGAGTGCAAAAAATTAAACAAGTAACCTTTGTTAAAAAAAAGTGATAGAGCAGCTGAAAAAAATCAAGAGACAAGGAATTCACGTGTAATTTTTAATGGCGATTGCCAGAAAATGGGTGGGCGAAATTAGCTATACGTCAGTATTTTTTAAATATGCTTTAAAAGTCATTACACGTCTTAAAATAGTGTTGGGTTTAGTGTTTATAACGTGTGACAGTGGGCTGAGGAATAGCAGCACATGGAGACAGTCGAGCTACGTGGTTCATGACGCTTCAACGCGCAGCCAATGAGAGAAGAGCACGGAACTTGCGGGCCAATCAGAGAGCGAGAAAAGGAGGCGTGGAGCAGGATGGTTCATCTGCGGCCAACCATTGACTGCTACCTTTGAAATATCAGCACAGACTACATTCATCCCTATACAACATTTATACAAGAATTTTTAAGATATGCACACTGAAAGCTAATAATTTTTAAATGAGTTAGGATAAAATAAGAGGTTAAGCAGAAGTGAGCATTTTTATATAGCTAACTTCTGGTTAACCTCTTATTTTATCCTCAAATTTTATATTAACCTCTTATTTTTATTTAATATAACAGCTGAAATAGTGAAAATAATTTTTAAACAAGTTATGATAAAATAAGAGGTTAACCAGAAATTATCATTTTTATATAGCACAGAAATTGTTCAAATAGGATTGGTTAAAATAAAATGCATCTACTTCCAGACAACAAAATCATTTCCAAGATTCTCACAAAAAATCGACCTTGAAGGTTACATAGAATTATAACAAGTCAATAATAAGACAGAATAATAATAATAATAAGTTCTCAAACACGCACCCAAAAGACCAAAATACATTGTTTATATGTCACGAGTTATTTGATTGAATATGAATCTTAGGTGAGACTGCGCCCAGAAGTTGGCAGTGCAGCGCTGACGCGCACTCTGTTCTCCACAATCCCAGCAGCTTACTTGCATCTTGCAGTCGACCCAAGGTCAGGTACTCGATGAACTTGACGAAATTTTCAGCGCTTTGAGACACTCAATACTTGAATTGATTGAAAATTAGAACTCATGGCGGGTCAGGCACATTTTCAACGCTCGGGCGAATACATTGTATTAGGAAGAGAAACTGTTACCCTTGTTGGCTGGGCATCTATTTGCCATCGATATTTGTTGTAGGCGAAATTTGTTGTTGTATAACTAACATACGAGTTATTATATTATATGATTAAATTCAACTAATATATATCTATTATAAAACCAAATCCAAATCAGAGAAGAAGAGCCTGCAAGTTCCGTGAGTTGCTCAAAATTACTCCGTCATTCAGACCAAAAATCTACCAAAAATTTTAAAATTGTGAGTGAGTAGGAAGGCAACGGAGAGCGGAACCGAGGGGAAATCGGAGAAGAAAATGGACACCAGACCATCTGTCGCATGAACTCGAAGTGAAAACCGTGAAAATTCCACAAATTTTTGGTTCGGATGAATTTTTGATTGACCTAAACGACAAAATAAGAGTGAGGTTACACAGTCTTCGACGCCGGGCTTTCCAACAATTGCTGGGAAGCCATCAAACAGCGGCGACCACTTATTATCCGAGTCCGTACTATCAAAACTCCTTTATACACACATATAGCAGCCGCTTTCCCGTCTATATGATTGTTGGGTTTAGTTTGGAAACCCGTCATTGACTGGCTAGTGGAATAACTAACTCAAATATTTTTGATATTACAGGCCTTGGGCGAGTGCGACCATGTAACCCTCGCGCCGACAACTCCGTGGAAGAGAACGTTAATCAGTCAGACGTCAAGAGTGCCACGGTAGCGGCTAAATATATCAGCAGAGGGAGGCTCCTGTGACACATGTCTTCACACGAAACTAAAAGCGCTGTCCTCGTGCGGGGATAAATATAACTTGAAAATACACAATATATGAATGAAAAGCGCCATTTTAGTCACTGAGTCATTTGATAAAAAATAGAGTATCTCATGCATCATCAGCACGCGATTGATTTATTATTTATTTTTAGCATGCTAATAAACTAACACATGTGTAACGTGCCCTCGAAGTTTGTTTGAACCAGACGCCACGATAACTGCTTCATAGAATAATAATGCTGATAATAATTATAATAACAATTTCGTATACCGGGCACACAACAAAGCCAACAACGACATCATTTACGTCACTCATTAGCTTACGCGTGATGTCGTGCCAGTGGATGAACACCTCAATGACGGTAACGTGTGTCAAGCTCGCACTATCATGCTGAATTTGTACAAAATCAAGCACATGAACTCAAAATGTACAGAATCGATATTCTATTGACGAACCATTTCGAAACAGGTTATTGTTCATTGACGTAGATTATAATGAGTGCGCTGAAGTGGATTATAATGATCAAACTTCTAGAAGAACAAGTGGCAGCCAGGAGTCTTCAGGCTACGGCAGATGGGCGGAGCTTTAGCAAGAGCCGGTTGCCTCTGCCACGGGACGATGGATCAGCAGAGCCGGCTGCTACAGCTGAACATGCCGTTAAAAATATCATACCACGTGCACTATTTGTCGCAATATTCGTATATTTTTATATTGCTAGCCTTTCTGAGTGTCTATTATCGTGTAACGACGGACCGGCATCGCTAAGGCAATTATTTAAAAAAGAATTAACACCACAGATTTTAAAACAAAATAAATAACTGAACAGCGGTCAAAAAATATATTTGCTCGGTACTGATGGGAGACGCAAGGAGCAGCAGTCGCTATCTCGAGTAGCAACAGCAAGCCCAGGAATAACCACGTGTCTTCAGATGCAAGTGATCAAATTACATGAGGAGACCGCAACAACGATTACAGTGAAGGAGCAACGAGGTAACCACGTGGCAAAAGCCAGTTCAAAAGACAATACGAATATGAAAAAGTGATAGCTAATAAATGAATGGTCTTATGCTGCCTTGTATTTGAATAACAATAAAAAAAGTATAAAGAAATATATGTAAGTAGTATCCTTTAAGAGATGAATGGAGTTACACTGCTATCTATTTTGAATCACAATAAAAAATTCTAGGAATGTAAGCTAGTAGGAGCCTTTAAGCGATTTTAAAATGAAGATACGCCACCTCTTAGTTTTAATGATTATAAATCTAATAGTGGGTGAAACTGCATGAAAATTACGAATCAGAGAAAACTGAAATTTTCAAAACAGTTGGATGCATCATTACATATTTTGACTTTCAAAGAGAATAGGTAGCCAGTCACCACATCATACGAGACGTTTCATTACTATAGCAATTCATCATTTTAACATTTCATCACTAAAGCAATTCACCATAAAATTTCTTTATTGCATAAAGTGCAGTTTGGAAACATAAGTACATGTAGGTTACGTTAGCTTAAAATTTGTATAAAGGATGAAATGCGTCAATAATGAAACGCTTCACTGATGAAATGCGTCAATAATGAAACGCTTCACTGATGAAATGCGTCAATGATGAAACGCTTCACTGATGAAATGCGTCAATGATGAAATGCGTCAATGATGAAACGCTTCACTGATGAAATGCGGCAATGATGAAACGCTTCACTGATGAAATGCGTCAATGATGAAATGCCTCTTATGATGAGATGCCGTGCAACTAGCAGAATCAATTATCAGAAAAAATACAAACCCGAGAAGCCGCCGAAACAATGCAGCATCGACAATACCCAACGAAGCGAAACAAATACACTCTAGTTTTATGATGGTGACACTAAGAATACCTCCAGACAAAGGGAAACGCATCACCATTATTCATGAAGACAGCACAAAATAATAGTGTCGGTATACCAACATACCGCAGCAAGCGATCCTGCGTGCTGACAATCACCCTGATCATATATGCTACCCACAACTATCATGCATATCATGAAGCTGAGGCAGGTATTTACAGGATGAGTTAATACAAATATGCACTTCATGATAGCCTATAATAATTATGTCATTAACTTCTGCACCAGAATTTCCATTTAGCATACATTCCAAAACGTAGGAAGTCTTTAGGCCGAGAGAAAGTAAATTTACATGAATAAATCAGAAAAATACAATAAATTAAGTCCAACTATTCGCCTTTTCAAGAATGAAACAAAAATTTTAAGTTTTTGTGTACATTAATTATAATGTAAAGTGTATTGAGAAAAATCAACATTATACCCGAATCTCAGAGGCGCGTTTGCTGAGGTTTTCCCGATTATAAAAACTGGTCACATATCTAGTGGAGCCGACCATTTGTATGGACCTTCTATTGCGGATAATAACAAATAAATTAATTCGGGCTCAGAGATAAATCGGGCAGGAATGGGGCCGGGTTTGAAGCCTTAATTCACAATTCGGCAGCGAACGTAAACGAGGAACACAGGGCAACGGTGTTGTGGGTAACCGTACTGTCTCAGTCCTATTCAAACTTCTTCAACGAATAGGCCTGTACTCCATTATATATTATTAACTCATGGCACGAATCGTGATCGCTTAAAAATTGTTTGGCTAAAATCGAAACTCCATCGGAGCTTGAAAATCAACAAAGAAATATAGCCTTATATAGCGAAGATAGTTTTAGTTAGCAATGCAATGTTAGCAGAGAAAACAATATCTTGCGATAATACACTAGTTAAAAGATAACGTTCGACAGACCAAATAATTGAAACGTGCATGATCGGTAATCTCTTAGTAACAGTGGGACGAATTAATTCCAAGGGTCTTCGATAGATAAGGTGCAGATAAGAAGATATAAGATAAGACGGCATTCAAATACGATCAAACAGACGGAAAGAGACACCAAGAATTTGAAGCATACAAGTCGTAAACGTCCCTGAGTATTGAGACTGTCAACCGGTAACTCAATGTTATAGATATGCTACCATGAACCATGATTAAATTTCGCCGAAACGCCTTCAGGTTTCGACCATGCATCGAACAAATGCGGATTTATGCGTATTATTCTATAGATTATTCAAAATGATATCAAGTTTTTCTTTCAATACACGAAGCTCAAGGCTGCTTCAACATCGTCTAGGTTCTCGAATTCCAAAACTGGAGCACTTTAAAGATAAATTACAGAGGGATGTTCAATTTAGCCATATATGGAAATGATGAAAAAAAGTTTAACATGCTAACCTGGCTAACAGGTACAGAAGTATGGGAAACATGGGTCAACATCGTAGTTGGTGGTTTAGCTCTCGAGCCACGACGGTTGCCTACAGCCCACGGCATGTTCTAGAAGAAGCATGAAACGTATCCTGAATACTGAGCGAGGCTGGAACTCGTCCACGTGGGTCTCCTTCTACACGAATAAATGGTCATATTTTACAGCACGTGAGAGCACGTCGGCACATGATTAACCTTTATTGCAAAAAACGTCAACCCTTGTCTTTGCTATTCGTGCATAAGGCCCGGTAACGAATGTTCCATTAGTGGACAGGAGGTTGACCATTTCTCTACATGGATACCGTTGTTTATTACATACGAATCTGCGAGCCTGGTAAAGAGAGTTACTGTCTTCACACTAAGGAGTAAACTAAGGTACATCTGCCAAAGGAGTCAGGTAGCATTATACACTGCTTATGCAGTAATAATTGTCTTCATATTACTATGGCGTGTTAATTAACCGTTTCAAGTGTCAGTAAGAAGTGCATGCGCCTCCATCAGTTCAATATAGAAAGATAACAATCCTGAGCTGCAAGCCTATTGTGCTCGTTACACAATCGCCGGCACTGGCTATCCTCAAGCCCAGCATGACGAAAATCAGGGAAATTATAGCGGGGTACAAAGTCCACCAGCAACTGGCCTCCGCGCAGCCATACGACCAAAAAAATCCCGATCATCCACTACTAAAACCGGTCCTAACATCGCAGGAGCAAGCGGCTACATCTGAACGTTGTCGCCCTCAAGCCCAAACTTCTACACTATGGAGGATCCGATTGAAAATTAGCTAATAAATAAATAATTTGCTAATAAATGATGCGAGTGAAATGAGGCGCCGTTCCCAGCAGCAGCCATCGTGAACATCATACACGGCAGGTTCAAAAGTCACGTGCAGTGAGTTGGCCATTAAGCGCACACTCTTGGCACCGCGCACAACAAAAGCAGAGAACTAATCTTAAATAGACGTTCACGTGACGCAACGCAAATCTCACGCCTGCTCGCAAGTTTACCATGAGATGCATGATTAAGAAATATTTCATTTGTACCTTAACACTAACGAGAGTTATGGCAGCAATTAGGAATGAAAACATCCATGTAATTTGTTACCGTACTTTTCTACAGATGCAACACAATAGAATAAATTACAACAAAACATCGTTTGAATTCAACACTTTTATATCAAAGGAAGCCGTACAAATATTTTAAAACACAATTACGTTAAAATAATAGTATCCCATGAAACCTCTAGCAATGAGGTGATGTAGCAGCGCGGCATCAAATATTCCTACATGATAGGATGATCAACGGTGAATTAATTCGAATTCCCCTTTTCCTCAGGAGTATATATTGGACAAATTCAGTTATTACACATTTCCAATTCATAAAATCATGCCAACTTTTCATTGTGGATATTATATGATGGTATAGAACAGTACACACTCGAGTTAATAGCAACTAAAGGCATGTAATGAAATCTTTCACCTCCTATGGGCTGCAAATCTAAATTTATATCTTCATAAAATTCTGGTGTTCACATAAATGAGCTTAAAAAGTTCCTCACAAAATTCTAAAGTTCACTTAAATGAACTGAAAACTAACCTCACAAAATTCTGGAGTTAAATTACATAAGTTAAAGAATTTCCTTATAGAATTAAGCAGTTCATCTAAATGAGCTGAAAAAGTTCCTCACAAATTTCTGAAGTTCACTTAAATGAACTGAAAAATTATATCACAAAATTCTGGAGTTAAATTACACAAAATAAAGAATTTCCTTGCAAAATTCAGCAGTTTACTTACATGAGCTGAAAAAGTTCCTCACAAAATTCTGGAGTTCACTTACATGAGCTAAAAAAGTTTCTCACAAAATTCTGGAGTTTACTTACATGAGCTGAAAAAGTTGACTATCTCCATATGGCTTGGAGAAAGAGGGGGAGATGCTTCTTGTTGGCTATTGGAGTTGCTGTTGTGTCTGTTGTTGCCATTTCTTGAGCCTTTGCCAGATGTTGCTGGCTGGAATACCAAACGTGGGGAACTGCACACAAATTTATTAACACTATGGAAATGACTTGCCAAAAAAATTTTACACAACAGTATGTAGTCTATTACTGTGTACCTATGTGTCAGAACAAAAATTTGAGAAATAAAACTCATCCATAAAGAGTAGTTGCTGATAATTTGATTTAATAACATTTTCTAAAAGTTTATGAAAGTGACTCTGAATGCAAGTTGAAGACCATGAATACATTGAATAATAGTATTACAACCAAAATAACAATACTACATTACCTCATCACGGATTGCTCTGAATCATCCGAGTCTCCAGAATTTTTTCTTCTCAAATCCCGATTCACTTCCAAGTTTTCCAATTTGAGGGGAATATCTACAAGAAGATAGAAATAATGAAACATCTCAAGAAATCTTAGCTGTTAGCTCATTTCCATAAAAGACACAACACCCTGAGCAGCATACATTTATATTAAACCAGCTCCTCATTGGTTCCTTATAAAAGTGTGTCAAGTGTGGAAAAGGAAAAAATATAACTCAGTACTCACTGCAGTGAGTGACAGAGAGCGCATTTTCTCTTCTCGTCGACAAAAATGTGAAGTCATGAACAGACAGATGGACGGACGGACATGGCTAGCACAATAGTGCATTTTTTCCATAAGTGATAAAATGCGCCAAAAAGGCATGAAAAAGTCTCCACAGTAACTTTCCGACAGTTAAAACTATTTACATTTGGCCAGTAATCAAACGGAACTTTAGGTAAACTTAAAGAATATTTTAGCTTGAAATAAAAAAATATAGTACAGCTAATCTTTATAACAAAGAAAACATTGGTATTTAACTTGAATAATAATTCACAATAATATATTGTGACATTTTCCTCTCAGCTAATCCATTCAATTGGGATCTACCTATATATTCCAATTGCACACTGCTATCTTTTATATGTGAGGTGATGCATTGTTTTGCCATCAGAATATTTTTGAAAATTATGCTGAATTGTGTTGAAAATATAAATAAATAAGAATGACTAGTTCCTAGATGCTTGTACCAATGACAGGGGAGTAAAGCTGGCACAAGTGAAATGTTTATGTAATATATAGGTTGGCCTGGCTCCCATATTGGAAAACTGGTGAATACATTTGGATGTCTTCAAAATATTGCATTTTGGTTGAATCTTGAACCTTGTAGCTTCAAATTAAGGTAATTTATTTAAACTTGGAATTGTGCAGGTCTCTTGCAAGTTGGAAGAATATAATTTGAAATTTTCTGGCTTGGTTCCAAATTGTATCTTGAAAGACATCAACATGACAGTAGAATTTTGACATTGCAGATGATAACTTATGGCACTTAATTGTTTCCAGTGTTACATTCAAGTAAAATGGCACATTTTACCTTTTGTGATTTTCAACCTGTGAAATGGTCATTTTTCATAGGGAATTTTTAGGAAATTTGCTCAATGTTTGAGTCTTGAGATTAGATTGTACTGGAATATAACTACAGAACTTCCTCACTAAGTAATATTTGACATGCAAACAGAAGAAAATTCGTAAAAATTAATTCTTAATGCATGTTGATGGCTATTGCTCAGCTGGATAAAACCAGATAAGGTTGAGATTATATATATACTCTACATTGACAGTCAGACCTCATGCCCAAAGTAAAGGAGGCACAAAAATGCATATAATGATTAAAAAATAATGTTTTACAACAGGTTACATCATAGAAACTGGGTCACACATTTAGCACCAGAATTCTCTCTTTCTGAAAGAGGTATGACAAGTGCATTAAATCTCTTGGTTATAACCAGGATTGGAAAGCTCTTTATACATATAAGCAGGGCTCCAAAATCACTTAGTTTCAGAGAATTTCGAACCCAGTAGTTCCATAGTAATTTGGTTCAATCAGAAATTACATGGCTTGAAAATATGTTGTTACAAAAAAAAATTTGAACTTCTGCCATCCAAAACTACACATCTGTCCTAGGGTTCTGTCCATTCTGAGAGTAGAGATGATTATATATCTGAAAAACTTGGGCAACACATCAGAAGATCTTCTTCAAAAATTCTCTGTAGCAAGTATTGTAAAAAATCATGAAGGTTCAGATAGTTTTTGCAACAATTCCTTAATGTTACTAATAATATTTTGGGTCTGAAAACCTTATTTTGGCAGCAATATTGTCAAACTCTACTTAGCAGGTCATTAGCAGCTCCTGCCAAAAATGGCCACACTGAAAATGTGCTTATGGATATTTTTGTAGATGTACCGTGTACCGTAAACTGGGGTAACTTAGACCACTTTTTTTTTTTTAAATGATGCCATTTTTTTACTAGATAAGTTATTAGGAATCCTTTAAGTATACTTGTATTTGCTGATTTCAAGTGGTAAATAAATTAATACATGATTAAGTTGAGAAATGGATTTAGACACATGAAAACTAATTCCGTCATAACTTGAATTGGACACACACAGATCGTTCCAAGCTATGTACAAAAATTAAAATTTGCTTAATTAAAAGCTCAATAGTTGTTAATTAAAAGCGTAATTAAGTGGTGTTCAATATTCATTAGTCTTCTAATTCAAAGCCGTGTTGTATTCCAATACAGCTCACACAGGCCACAGCGAACGGAATTCGAACACATGTGACGTGGATGACGGCATTATGTATCAGTAGAATTTGAAGCACGGACAGAATACGCCTCACCAGTCACCACGTGCCAAATATTGCCACACGCAGTGTCGGAATATAGGGATTTGGTAGGTTTGCATTCTAAAGGCTTTTAAATAAATATGGCAACATTTTGTGACGTTTCATCGTTGCTGGCGCGTAGTACGGTGTTTTGCGAGTCACATAAAGCAAACAGAACTGGAGTAACGCATATGGTTATTTTTTTATAGTTTTTCATTTCTTGATGCGTCCTTCCTTAATGTGTCAGAATATACTGCGTTTACCCTACTTATAATACAGACTCAGCAATTTTTTTTTACAGCTGCAAACTTGATGAACTTAGCTTCAAAAATTTAGCCATGTCTCAGAGACTAAGGTACAAAGAGTAATATATATATAGAGAAAGGTCATGACATGGGAAGATAAATATCTATATCAGACAAGCCTGCAGCTTTAAATTTTAATAGTTAAGATTTTTCAATCTTGGTTCTGAACTTCTGACATCTAATTGATCTAAAATTTCTAAATTAGGACAAAATAGTAAATTAACATAAAAAATATTATATAAAATCAATGATCAAGTCCAAGTGTCAACAATCAAGTCAAAGTGTCACTGTCAATTTGTCAAACCGTTTCTCACGCTTAACCTCCTCTTTTCACTTTTGCGTCACGAAAGAAAAGCTTAGACATTGTAACAATTATTTCAACAAAGGAAGTATATAACCACACTATCTGTAGGCGTGCGACAAGGAAAAAATAACAAACTTTGAACGAAGAAAACGATTCAGCAACACCTCACCTCTCCTTGTTCGGTTGATGATTCTGGTGGGTCCGCCTGAAACTGTGTACATTTTGCTCAGTTGCCGTAGCTCGTTTTTTCGATCAGCTGCTCCAAAGCGATAGTTTCCACTCGATGTAAGATAAATGTAATACGACTAACAAGATTATTCAAATTTTTAAACGGTAAGGCATACTCAAATTTTCAAAATTAAAAAACAACTAATAATTTGATGGAAAGGAAGCCCATACAAGAAACTAAACAAAATTAACACAACAATCTTAACACGAGATGTTTACGGCACCGCGGTCTTCAGCCGACTGCGCATTGAGCAGCTGACTAGCCGGTGCTCCTTTGAGGGCCAAAAGGTATGGCGCATCCTTCAATTGATTACATTATGCGCATATGTTTGCTTGTAAAATATTGATTCAAATTTGTGAATGAAATGTTTATGAGCAGTGTTATAATTAAGTAATATAATGCATAAAAATTTTACGAAGTTCCTTGGAGAGTTTATACTGCATGTCGCAGACCTAAGCCACAAATATGCAACCTAATCGAACAAAACCATACAATGATTGCATCATGGTTCAACCATGGATTGCATCACGATTGAAAATACTGCACTGAAGCTCAAAAAAAATGACAATTTATTAAAGGCAGCTCCCACCCATTTCCTCTAATTAGAACTGTAGACAATACACATAAAATGAAAAATTAAGTTTTTTTCTGGCCCATTTCATGGTCCAATACTCAATTTTACATAAATTAAAATCGTTTTAAATATTCCACTAATTTTGTCATATTATTCATCATACTGAATAAAATTTTGAAATGAATAATATACCATGAGCGATATCAACTAATATTTTTTGGTCAGAATTACTGAATTAGACAAGCTTGCTAACCCAAAAATTTAATTGTGTGAATTTTTTTTATGGATGGCAGTTTATAAATAGAATCGTATAGCAATATAAACGGCAACATTTTTCATTGCACTCAAGACCAAACCATAGATAAAAACCCGAAAAAAATGATAACAGCGGGCCAAGATGGGTCAGAATTAACCACAAAAGCAAAAAATTGGATCGCTAATTGTACTATGTCCCTACAGTTTCAGATTATTAAAACGTTGATAAACTGCGCTGTTGCCGTAAATCTTCAGTCAGAGTCAACGGATGGTTAAATGAAACAAGCGTTGATAAACGGCGCTGTTCATTAAACTCTTCAGGTTTAACAGATTCCGGCGCGTATCACAGAGGCAATGAGGAGGATCTATTAAATCTATTACACTGAGCGTAAAAAAATATACATATACTTAAATTAACGTGAGCTGCATCTTAGCAACATCAAATTTACAGGAGGAAAGGCACGAGGGATGAAACCCCCAACTAGCAGGGAATTATTTCTCCCCCGTTTTAATAATAATAATAACTAGAGGAAATAATTTTAACCAGAGTGTGGCGGGGGAAAAATTATCATGAGGATGGAAATATAAGTAAAATTTAGGACAGGTTGTTAAGGAAGAGCCATCATTCGGAATGCAATTTATATTAGATGGAAAATGTTTGAAACTTGAATTTTCATATACTTTAATTCATATTATGACTTTAAGAGACAAGACTTGGAAATTCGTATCGAGTAATCGTATAAAAAATAAAACAAGACTGTTAACCTAACTTGAATTCATGTCGAATTCGAGAAACTAATCAAATTAGGCTTAACTATAAAGGAGCAAAATACTGGCCGATTTCAAATTAATTTACAAAAACATTTCGTAAACTAATTCGACTGAAACATAAAACTATAATAGTAAAATATTTGTAATATTCATTCAACGAATATTATAAAATGTCTGTTTAAAAATTAATTGTGAACAGCCATCGATACTACGATGACAGTAAAATTAGATTCTAGGTGGAAATATAATTGTAAATAACATTTTTGCGACCACTTGGGAATAAGGCACGACATAGTACAAATTACGTACAACATTCACAATTTGTACACACGTTTTTTCCGCGCTAATTACATCGTTACGTCATGTGTCACTCAGAATAGCCCAATTGTATATCAGGTAAAGCAAACTACCCTTCGTTACAGAGATCCACAGACGCGGGGTTTGTTTTAATGCACAACCCAAGACCACGCTGAACCACATGGAACCATGGAAGCACAGCCCTCGACGGCTACTAAACAACACCACAAAATTAACTGAGCTCTCCAGGGCTCGAACCCACGACTAGCTCCTCCCAAAACGTTGCAGTCACTCAACGACTAAACAGTCGTACACTAAGACTTAATATTAACAAGAAACGACACCGTAAGAATTTGTGAGCATGAGTATCAGTCAGCAGGTTAGCGAAGACTAATTAGAAAGCCATTAATAGGCGATTGATAATCAAGTATTAGCTAATTAATTGATTTCTCAAATGCTGAAGATCAATATTATCCAAATCAAAAGATTCTTACAAAAGCTCAGAACCAACGTGACAACGCCGGAGTCTTGCAAGCTTAGAGCCATCAATTTACCACGAATATTTCATGTAACATACAACAGTTTGAACAGTTAAATGCAATTGAATATAGATGAATGCAATCTAATGAAGTTGAATTGTGAATAGTGGAGTTGTGCACCCAAGGGAAAACCGTACAAAATTGACTAAGTAATGATTATTTCCAAAAGTGCACAAAAAGTTGATGAGCTTAGTAAGTGAAGAATCAGTTGAATTCAGCAGTAGGTGAACGCTTCGTCATCAAGTTAAAGGTGCAATTCTAGGGTGCAATTCTAGTAAAGTTAACTGAGAGTGTTAACTGAGCATCCACGAGAGCAGGTTGTGTGGTGCCTAAGAGCTCCTCGATTGCTTGTTGTTTGCTCTGTTGCCTTGCACGTGCGTTGCTCCCATTCTCTCGTCTCGTTTTTGCTGACGCGGCGATTTTATTATTGACACGTCTTTCTACTGAGTGTGCTCGTCAGCGGTCAGAGAAAAGTTCGACGTGGGCCCGCTCCTCGCTCGCGTCACAGCTCAGTGACCCTCGGAGTCGGTGTAGGCCACCATCAGAGGCGTTAAGGTCGGGGCCCTGATCATTGACATGAAACCATTCCCTGTTTTTAATTAATAAAATCAATTCCTTTTTTTTTCGTTGGAATGGTGAATGTGGGAGGCCTTTATATATAAAAAAAAAAAAAAAAAATTCTAGGGTCACCCGTAGAAATAGTTCCTTAAGAAATGACACATCAATTATTTCACCAGAATAGTAATTAGTTATAATTCATTTGAATACAAAAAAGTATTCTGCAACGTAACCAAAACTCGGGCGGTGAATTCACAGGAGAATCTGGCTCCATGGTTAACGTCGCTGCTGACCATCACTTCTGCAGGTGCTGCTGACCATCACTGCTGCAGGTGCTGCTGACCATCACTGCTGCAGGTGCTGCTGACCATCACTGCTGCAGGTGCTGCTGGCCGAACACGACGGTCTGACGCACCAGATTGGCCAGGGTCCTGGCCTCCTCCAGCAGACGCAGCGTCGCCTCCTGCTTCTCGTTCACACGCTCCAAACTGCAAAATTTTTGCTTATATAATATGAAAATAAATCTATACTATAATGGTTATAAATAATTACGTAAAAACCAATACATGAATGATTTGATGGCGGACTTCCTAGAGAAATAACGATCAGTCCGTAAGATAATAGTAAATCAGATGTTAATAAAAAGACGTAACATTTATGTAACCATGCCTGATGTCTTAGCTTAAAAAAACGAGGATGTGTTCAACTATCATTATTTATCCTTACGGAATACTTATAAGTTAAACAAAAGTTATTAAAAAGGTAGAGTTTCTGTGATTTTCTTTTAGGGCTACAAAATGCACGGTATGAGAAAATTGCATTTGAGTTTACGTCATACTCACCGAAGAAAAAAAGCGATAAAAACAGGCAATAAATATGCAAGAAACTGTAATGCATGTAAACACGGAAGCAGGAAAATGCTATTGCAAAAAAACTCAGAAAAGAAATGAGAAGATAAGAACACAAAGCGTACTTCCTAGCGACAGCAGCGCGATGACCCGACACACTACGGCGGGTCCTGGGCTTCCGTCTGGGTTTGGTCGAGCCGGGGGCGGTGGCTCCAGCGTCGTCTGGGTCGTCGGGGCCAGCTTGGGGGTCATCAGGGGTTGAATTTGTCGGGACGGCAGCGGCGGGGGTAGAGATGGTCGGGGCTGGTCGGCCCTGGTAATTGAAAAGGACTTTGTCAATGGAGATTTATTGTTGGTTTTGTTTTACTGATCAACATAGGGTAAAAAAATTTCACGAGATCCTAATTGTTGACTTATCCGGGGTGCACTAACCTTCCATTTAGAAGATAAATATGGAATAAATATGTGATGAAAATAGAAGGATTACATACACGGACGGCACGAACATCAAAATCAGCTAAATCAGTAGGATTTACCAAACCAAAATAACAATGCAGGCCCGCATAAAATCGTGAGTCTGTTTGCCAGCAATAATGGAGCTCCACTGACCTGCAGAGCTATGGACGAGTCCTGCAGAGCGTTGAGGAGTCTGTTGGCGTGGGTGTGGTACGAGTCCTGCGTGGCTGCAAGTTTAGCCTGCAGGATCTGCAGTTGTTCTGTGTGGCGTCGCTGGTCAGATAAAGCGATATCCACCTGCACCCTCTGCACCTGAGCCACTCTGCAGCCGCAAAACATAGCCAACATGATCATACATTAATGTAAAGTGTACCTATATTAACTAACTTTCAGTACAAGAAAGTACTAAAAAGTACTTAACTGCACTTATAAAAAATATAACTCAGTACTCACTGCAGTGAGTGACAGAGAGCGCATTTTCTCGTCGACGAAAACTTGAAGTCACGGACGGACGGACGGACAGACAGACAGACGGATGAACATGGCGAGCACAATAGTGCATTTTTTCCATAAATGAGAAAATGTGCTAAAAAGTACTCAACTGTACCTTTGAAAAAGTACTTAATTGTTCTGCAACAGTCATTAAATAAAGAAGAAATAAAGAATAAAATAACGTATCAAGTCTCTTACTTGCACCAGTCTGCGAGACCGTCAGTGGAGGTGTGCAAGGTGGTGGCGCAGCAGCCCAGCAGACACTCCAAGCTCTTGGCCGTCTCCTTCATCTTGAGCTTCTCCAGCAGGTGGAACTGTTCGTCGTTGAACGTCAGCGCTGCAATAAACAATACAAGGTACTTGAAATGACAACAAATCCACACCCCACACAAGCACAAAACAAACAAATGTTTGTTTGCAAGCATTAACTAAAAAAACATACCCACACATACAAAAGAAAGAAAAAATACCTGGGTTAGCTACTCGAAATGACAACTAAATCCGCACACCAAAACCAGCACAAAACAAAAAAATACAACGCCAAGGCACGCTTTAACTGAAAAAAAGACACACACATACAAAAGAAAAGAACAATACCTGGTCAAGCATCAATTTTACCACGTTTTTCTCATCTCTGACCGCTCTGTCCCTCACCTCTGGCCGCTCTGTCACTCACCTCTGGCCGCTCTGTCCGTCACCTCTGGCCGCTCTGTTCCTCACATCTGGCCGCTCGGTTCCTCACCTCTGGCCGCTCTGTCCCTCACCTCTGGCCGCTCTGTCCCTCACCTCTGGCCGCTCTGTTCCTCACCTCTGGCCGCTCTGTTCCTCACCTCTGGCCGCTCTGTTCCTCACCTCTGGCCGCTCTGTTCCTCACCTCTGGCCGCTCGGTTCCTCACCTCTGGCCGCTCTGTCCCTCACCTCTGGCCGCTCTGTCCCTCACCTCTGGCCGCTCTGTCCCTCAGCAGATGCTGCCACGAGTCCTTCAGTTTGCCCACAAGAGTGGCCGCTATGGCGGGCGTCTTGGCCATCGCGTCGACGGCGCTCTCGCCTGACCCGTTCACTGCATTAAATAATTTAGAGTTACACGTTATAATTAACTTTGCTCGATTATATAAATTTAATGGAGTAGGTAAAGAAGCCTACTCGTCTTACATTTTTTCAAATTCAAAGCATTTCTAGTAAATTATTTTTCCAGGGAATGCTATTTCATGTCTTCCATTTTGTACAACATGGAGGCCTACTCAGAAAACTATGTCTTCAAATGACTCGGAGAAAAACGTCCACATCGACCTTCTTCATTCCCTTTCCTTAGCTCTATAGGGAAATAAAAGTCATAGCGTAGTGTTACCTGGTATGGAGGGTGGGGTAAGGGCAGGAGGAGAGGGGTGAGTACCTTGCATGGAGGCGGGGGTGAGGGCAGGAGGAGAGGGGTGAGTACCTTGCATGGAGGCGGGGGTGAGGGACACTGAGGGGGCGGTGATGGGGGACACAGCTACGCCGATCTTGCTCTTGGCGAGGGACGATGCTGGTGTGGTGGTGATGTTGCAGGAGCTGTTGATGGTGGTGAGCTGCAGCTGCCAGCTCTGGTCCAGCTGATCGCCCTCCACCAGGCGACTGTTGAGCTGACTGGTCAGGCGACCCAGGCTCTCCATGGACACTCGCACCTACAATACCAGTAACGTATCAATATTATTAACATATCAATATCATAGACATACCAACATCATTAACATATCAATATTATTAACACATCAATATCAATAACATATCAAAGACAGGATTTAGTGAATGGAATTACTATGTCATGAGGATGAGGTTATTTACACAAATAGAATAAAGCTTGAGCAGTAGTATTTTTGTTTCTGAGTTAGAAATATTAGCTTAAAGAGTGAAGCTAGCTGAACACAATCAACAGTAGGAGTTATTTCAGTACAAAAGTAGGAGTCCCGGTAGGAGTTTTATATTCTTTCTAAAGCTAAGCAATTAAAAGTATAAAAATATATTGTATAAATATTGGCAACATATGACTGGCGTAGTCTTCGTGTGAGTTTTTCCATCTCTCAATGCTGTGGCGATGATAAAATGAACATAAATGGAATATCTGCAACATATGATCTATGAAGGACCTTTTTGTCTTCCTCAACGAGGTTGTTGACCAGGTCCTCGAGGGCGTCTCTGAGTCCAGTGACCGTCGCTTTGGAATCGTTCTCTATTCTTGTGATGCGGATGCCGGAGCCACTGTCCCCGTTAGAGAGTCTTGATTGCGCATCGCTGTGTCTTGACTCCGTATCGCCGTGTCTTGACTGAGCATTGCCTTGTCTTGACAGTGCATCGCTGTGCCTTGACTGTGCATTGCTTAGTCTTGACTGTGCTTCACCTAGTCTTGACTGTCCCTCTCCCATAGCCTCGTCTCCTAAATGTACAAAACTCTCCATTTCGTCAGTGATCTCAGCTGGTGGAGTGGATGGCTGCAGTTGGTTCGAAGGGCAAGCGATGACACAGGTGGTGAGGAAGCGTCTGTGGTGAGTAACCAGCTGAGTGAAGCTGTCTGAAGTTAACTGCGTGGAGGACCTCAAGCGTTCGCATTCTGATACGATCTCCTTAGCTTCACTCATCAGCACAGTCCTGTTATGAAGGAAGTTATCATCAACAAGATACTCATGCGGCAACATGTCACACAAATCATTAATCTATTAATACTAGTTAGAAATAGCATGTTCAACGGTGATTCGTTAAATATTTACGATAAAAATTAAAGTTATGTGTAATTTAACAGCAGCGCATACGAAAAGTAGAGTTCATAAGTAAAAAACTGTAGGGACAACAGAACTCTTTCCACATAATTTATCTAGAGAGCAAAGGTTAGCTTCAGCATTACACATAGAGATTAATTATGGCCTTCATCATTCTACTAATGAGAATAGACGAGCTTCCCTTCAAACCCAGAGGTAAATATATTCTTCAATATTAACCCAGAGAGTTAAACCATGTGCATCAACATTAACTGTGAGAGTAGAGACAAGCTTCTCCATTAACCTGTAGAGGGCGACGGCGTCGTGGATGAGGGCAACGCAGGACGCGTGGTGTACCACCATCCTGCACACCGCGTGCCCCACGCTGCAGATGCTCTTGCCGGTGAGAGCGTCTTGGTCCACGCTCACTACGTTGGGGAAGCTGGGGAACTTCAGACCTGTAACAACCAAGTATTACTTAGGAAACTGAGGAATTTACAACCTAGCTGAGAATAAGAGTAGAGGTATGGCTCAACGGCTGAGGAACTACAAACCAGCATCGACGCGGTATTACTAATTGGAACTAAGAAATTTCCAACCTAGCAGGGACAAGGAGTAAAAGTATGGGTCAACTGCTAGAAAACTTCATGCCTGCCTGGGAAATTTAAGCTAAAAATGAATAGAAAAACACGAGGAAAACCACCAAAATAAGACGGCTCACTTGGAGTCTTCGGTAGCGTGAGTACGATGTCCTGCTCGTGGGCCGAGAAGAGCATGAGGGGCTTGTGGGGGGTCGTGGTGGGGAAGGAGGACGCGGGGCTTGTGTCTGGGCAATACAAAAGCTTGGAGAACGTCGAGTTGTTGTACAGCAAGAGCTGGTGCTCCGGTGCCACCTCAGACTGGTCCTTGATCAGCCACTGCAGCTGCTCGTATCTGAAACGTGTGGGTCTGTGTTAATAGATACGTAATAATAGTTGACACGACTATTGATTATGGATGCACCTAGTAGTGATGGCTACATCTAGGCTAGTGATAATGCTACAGCAACATCCAATAAGCATCAACCGGGCCTGCTTAATGCTTATTGATCAGCCACTGCAGCTGCTCGTATTTCTGTGGCTTGCATATTCTCAGTACTTGTGGCGATCGTAACTGCAAACCAGAACAAAAGTTGTAAATTTTGATCACAACGAGAGAGCTATGTGGAAAACAATTATTGAAATGCCATCAGTCCTATTAAATCGACAGCAATGCACGATGCTTAAATAATCGGGGTAAAACCAGGCTGCAGGTAGATGGTCAGAGACTGACCTGTGGTCAGGCAGCAGGTAGATTGTCAGAGACTGACCTGTGGGCAGGCTGCAGGTAGATGGTCAGAGACTGACCTGTGGTCAGGCTGCAGGTAGATGGTCAGAGACTGACCTGTGGTCAGGCTGCAGGTAGATGGTAAGAGACTGACCTGTGGTCAGGCTGCAGGTAGAGGGTCAGAGACTGACCTGTGATCAGGCTGCAGGTAGATGGTCAGAGACTGACCTGTGGTCAGACTGCAGGTAGATGGTAAGAGACTGACCTGTGGTCAGACTGCAGGTAAATGGTAAGAGACTGCACTCTGTTGACATGGAAGACGTAGATGCGCTTGCGTGCCAACAACGACGTCACTTCGCTGAAAAAAACCTCGAACTTCCACATGCGCTCAGGGTCAACCTCCAGCAGCCCGCCCAGCAGCGGCGTCACCAGCTTCCTCAGGCCTCTGCACAAACAGAGGTCACGTCACCAGCTTCCTCAGGCCTCTGCACAAACAGAGGTCACGTCACTAGCTTCTTCAGTCCTCTGCACAAACAGTAAACAGAGGTCACGTCACTAGCTTCCTCAGTCCTCTGCACAAACAGAGGTCACGTCACAAGCTTCCTCAGTCCTCTGCACAAACAGAGGTCACGTCACAAGCTTCCTCAGTCCTCTGCACAAACAGAGGTCACGTCACTAGCTTTCCCAGGCCTTTGCACAAACAGAGGTCACGTCACAAGCTTCCTCAGTCCTCTGCACAAACAGAGGTCACGTCACTAGCTTTCCCAGGCCTTTGCACAAACAGACGTCACGTCACAAGCTTCTTGAATCACCTTGATCTTTTACTTTTAGTTTTGTGATAATTTGCCGAATTAAATAATATTTATTGACATACTGCACGAGAACGGAACCGGCGAGCTCATATATTTCAAACATTTTTATTGAAAAACTATAATTTTCGGAATATTTATCAAGCTACATTTTTATTAAATTTGAAAGTATAGTGGATAGAATTGAGTATAGAAAAGGCCTTATCTGAATTTTCCTGGCCTATTCTTATGCTGGAAATTCTTATTAAATTTACACATATGTAAATACAAGTAAGAGTATAGGGAGCGTATAAGTATAAGTAAGAGTATAATGAGGGTATAAGTAAGAGTATAATGAGGGTATAAGTAAGAGTATAGGAGAGTATAAGTAAGAGTATAGGGAGAGTATAAGTAAGAGTATAGGGAGAGTATAAGTAAGAGTAAAGGGAGAGTGTAAGTATAGGGAGAGTGTAAGTATAGGGAGAGTGTAAGTATAGGGAGAGTATAAGTATAAGCAAAAGTAAAGGGAGAGTGTAAGTATAGGGAAAGTATAAGTATAAGAGTATACGGAGACTATAAGTACAAGTAAGAGTATAGGAAGAGCTCAGTCTCTGACAGGCTAAGCTGGCAAGTGCTGGGCAGGTCTCTGCTCCAGTCAATAGGTCCGTTTTCTGAGGTCTGTACCCCCGATATGACCCCGGGTTTTTTCTCAGTGGTGATCCTGTACATGGTCTCCTTGTTGCGTCGCCCGCCGTGTGGTCTGAAGGGCAGCAGACCTGTCGCCACGTGGAACAACGTCACGCCTGACAACCAAATAAATACAATTAATTAGGCAAATAACACAGTTTATGAATTATTTTGCGTAATTTGTATTGAATTTTGTGGTTCATCCTAATGTCATAAATGAACAAAAACAAATGAAATTTTGTGCAACAAAAGTTCTGCCTCCCTATATCGGCAGAGTATTATAGCAAGGAATTCATAAAAAAGGTTTTAAGTCTGGCAAAACCAAACTTTCGGTGGCAAAACATTTAATGCAGGGAATGTGCAAGGTCAGCTTCAGGAGACACTGACTAAAGCAACTGGTAACACGTCACCTATCTACCAGTACAAACTGCTGTCAACTGGCAACACGTCACCTATCGACCAGCACACACTGCAGGCAACTGGCAACACGTCACCTATCGACCAGCACACAGTGCAGGCAACTGGCAACACGTCACCTATCGACCAGCACACACTGCTGGNATTCACCAAATATTCCTCTATGCTGTAGAGACATGAACGCAATTCACCAAATATTCCTCTATGCTGTAGAGACATGAACGCAATTCACCAAATATTCCTCTATGCTGTAGAGACATGAACGCAATTCACCAAATATTCCTCTATGCTGTAGAGACATGAACGCAATTCACCAAATATTCCTCTATGCTGTAGAGACATGAACGCAATTCACCAAATATTCCTCTATGCTGTAGAGACATGAACGCAATTCACCAAATATTCCTCTATGCTGTAGAGACATGAACGCAATTCACCAAATATTCCTCTATGCTGTAGAGACATGAACGCAATTCACCAAATATTCCTCTATGCTGTAGAGACATGAACGCAATTCACCAAATATTCCTCTATGCTGTAGAGACATGAACGCAATTCACCAAATATTCCTCTATGCTGTAGAGACATGAACGCAATTCACCAAATATTCCTCTATGCTGTAGAGACATGAACGCAATTCACCAAATATTCCTCTATGCTGTAGAGACATGAACGCAATTCACCAAATATTCCTCTATGCTGTAGAGACATGAACGCAATTCACCAAATATTCCTCTATGCTGTAGAGACATGAACGCAATTCACCAAATATTCCTCTATGCTGTAGAGACATGAACGCAATTCACCAAATATTCCTCTATGCTGTAGAGACATGAACGCAATTCACCAAATATTCCTCTATGCTGTAGAGACATGAACGCAATTCACCAAATATTCCTCTATGCTGTAGAGACATGAACGCAATTCACCAAATATTCCTCTATGCTGTAGAGACATGAACGCAATTCACCAAATATTCCTCTATGCTGTAGAGACATGAACGCAATTCACCAAATATTCCTCTATGCTGTAGAGACATGAACGCAATTCACCAAATATTCCTCTATGCTGTAGAGACATGAACGCAATTCACCAAATATTCCTCTATGCTGTAGAGACATGAACGCAATTCACCAAATATTCCTCTATGCTGTAGAGACATGAACGCAATTCACCAAATATTCCTCTATGCTGTAGAGACATGAACGCAATTCACCAAATATTCCTCTATGCTGTAGAGACATGAACGCAATTCACCAAATATTCCTCTATGCTGTAGAGACATGAACGCAATTCACCAAATATTCCTCTATGCTGTAGAGACATGAACGCAATTCACCAAATATTCCTCTATGCTGTAGAGACATGAACGCAATTCACCAAATATTCCTCTGTGCCGTAGAGACATGAACGCAATTCACCAAATATTCCTCTGTGCCGTAGAGACATGAACGCAATTCACCAAATATTCCTCTGTGCCGTAGAGAGACATGAACTGCTGGTCGTCCTCGAGCTCCCTAGCAGCGCCGAAGTCAGTGAGCTTGTACACGGTGGAGCCGTCGAGTCCCACGAACTTCATGATGTTGCCGGGCTTGAGGTCGCGGTGTACCAGGTGGTTGTCGCGCAGGTGCTTCATGCCTGCCGCTGAAACAAAAGTCTTTTACACTGTAGTTTCTATTTATTTTACTAACAAACTGATATCTTATTAGTCTTTTTTATTATTCTCAAAAGGTAAGTTCAGTCTTTTACAGTGTTTTTTTATTTATTTTAACCAACAAACTGTTATTGTATTAGGTAGTCTTACAATTAGTCACAAAAGGCAAGTTCAGCCTTTTATACAGTGTTTTTTATTTATTGTTACTAGCAAACTGTTATTTTATTAGGTAGTCTTTTTATTATTCTCATCAGTCAAGTTCAGTCTTACTGTGTTTTTTATTCATTTTTACTAACAAACTGTTATTTCATTAGGTAGTCTTTTTATTATTCTCAAAAGGCAAGTTCAGTCTTTTACACAGTGTTTTTTATTTATTTTTACTAATAAACTGTTAATTTATTAGTCTTTTTATTATTCTCAAAAAGCAAGTTCAGTCTTTTACACAGTGTTTTTTATTTACTTTTACTAACAAACTGTTATTTTATTAGGTAGTCTTTTTATTAGTCTCAAAAAGCAAGTTCAGTCTTTTACACCTTGTTTTNCATCTGCACCTCTGGGGGGCGCATGCTGTCTCTTATACACATCTAGATGTGTATAAGAGACAAGCGCCGAAGTCAGTGAGCTTGTACACGGTGGAGCCGTCCAGTCCTACGAACTTCATGATGTTGCCGGGCTTGAGGTCGCGGTGTACCAGGTGGTTGTCGCGCAGGTGCTTCATGCCTGCCGCTGAAACAAAAGTCTTTTACACTGTAGTTTCTATTTATTTTACTAACAAACTGATATCTTATTAGTCTTTTTTATTATTCTCAAAAGGCAAGTTCAGTCTTTTACAGTGTTTTTTTTATTTATTTTAACCAACAAACTGTTATTGTATTAGGTAGTCTTACAATTAGTCACAAAAGGCAAGTTCAGCCTTTTATACAGTGTTTTTTATTTATTGTTACTAGCAAACTGTTATTTTATTAGGTAGTCTTTTTATTATTCTCATCAGTCAAGTTCAGTCTTACTGTGTTTTTTATTCATTTTTACTAACAGACTGTTATTTCATTAGGTAGTCTTTTTATTATTCTCAAAAGGCAAGTTCAGTCTTTTACACAGTGTTTTTTATTTATTTTTACTAATAAACTGTTAATTTATTAGTCTTTTTATTATTCTCAAAAAGCAAGTTCAGTCTTTTACACAGTGTTTTTTATTTACTTTTACTAACAAACTGTTATTTTATTAGGTAGTCTTTTTATTAGTCTCAAAAAGCAAGTTCAGTCTTTTACACTGTGTTTTTTTATTTACTTTAACTAACAAACTGTTATTTTATTCTTTTTTTTATTATTCTCAAAAGTCAAGTTCAGTTTTTTTACACTGAATATATAGTTTATTTTTATCAATAGGTTGGTATTATTTTAGAGGGTCCATGATAACCTCAACTTGATGTTGCATTAACTCAGTGAAATATGATATCTTAAGATCTTATTGCATTATAGACAACAAATCCTTTGCTGCAGGAATTCAAGATTTTAACAATTTTATTGGAGGATTCTCATCGTCCTTTCAATGGTTACGGAAGGAAAAACAAACCGATGTAATACAGCAGCAACACTCACCGAGATGGTGCAACACCAGCAGCAACACTCACCGAAATGGTGCAACACCAGCAGCAACACTCACCGAGATGATGCAACACCAGCAGCAACACTCACCGAGATGATGCAACACCAGCAGCAACACTCACCGAGATGGTGCAACACCAGCAGCAACACTCACCGAGATGGTGCAACACCAGCTGCAACACTCACCGAGATGGTGCAACACCAGCAGCAACACTCACCGAGATGATGCAACACCAGCAGGAACACTCACCAAGATGGTGCAACACCAGCAGCAACACTCACCCAGATGATGCAACACCAGCAGGAACTCGTTCTCCTCCAGGCCGTGGCTGTTCTCAGGGTCGTCGAGGATGTTGAAGAGCGAGCCTCCCGTGCACAGCTCCATGACGATCACCTTACCGCGGCTCTCTTGCTGCTCCCCATACAAGTGTTCAATCATTAACAATATGTTTACGGCTACATAAGTACTAATTGTCAATGCTATTCATACCTGACAATCTGGTTATAAAATATCAAAAACTGGTGAAAAAATAGCTGGCTAAACCCTCAGTCTAAAGATACATAAACCTGCTAACTTTTACCTAGTCAGCTGCTTCCAACTTATACTAATATAATATACAGACTTGAAACCTAAATTTTTTTGATAAATTAGAAATAATAGTGAAAAAGATGCACATGTCATAGAATGAAAACTTGCAAGACTTATGTCAATATACAATATTTGCTCCATGTTCACCTCTTCCTCAATAGCCAGAAGCTTGACGATGTTGCGGTGGTTGACTTTCTTGAGGACCTCAAACTCCCTCATCTGCACCTCTGGGGGGCGCATGTGTGACATTTGGTTGAACGTCTTCACCGCAACTGCCTCGCCGGTGTGCTGGAAAACATGACACAGGTTAACCACTGCAATATTTGTGTACTTTGCAAATCCGTAAGAAATACACGTGATCTTAGCATTTTAAAAAGCCAGACAACATGTTTTTGTTTATGAAAAAGTATTAACGCCAAAGGAAAGAAAGGTAATGGACCAGTTTGAAAGGCCACCCATCATGTTTTTCATTAAACCAATTATGAAGGCCAGAAGAAGAAAGGTGATAGCCACTGTTTGAAAGGCTAAATATTTTTTATTAAACCAAGTACAAATGTAAGCGATACAGAGGTGACATTAACACGTTGCACAATTAAACATTGTAAAGGTACTATATATATAGCGTTTAGAACAAACGAGGTCAAAGCCACCTCAATATCATTATTTATAAACGGATGTGAAAATGGTACAGTTAAAGGTAATGGTTTTTAATAGTACAGTGAAAACTCATGAATTATATTATGTGTAATAAACTTCCCAAAATTTTTTCAGGAATTATACCTTACATGTATGATTAACATAATTTCAATTGTCAATCACATAACAGACTTCAGTTTACTTTTGTAATTCATTGCGACATAAGGTTTTCTATGTAACCATAAATAGAAACGGCAGCACTTGCTCCTTTGACTTGACAGAAAATCAGGAATAAGTCACAGAAAATAACACCAGTACCTAGGTATATATTACTAAAATTTCAGGATTGTAAGCAAGATATTCTTTCTAATGACTGAAATTTAGGAGTAATCCAAGTTGCCCTGCAGACTTGAATAAATGAGTACAAAACAATGTTTTTTCTATGATTATTTGCAAACTTCAGCAATGGTATAAAGTTTTTCATAAGAACTATTGTTGATAATTGAGGTTTATTTGATGCTGCTTACTCTGTTGACGCCCTGGAAGACAGCACCGGTGGCACCCTTGCCCAGCACGGAAGTGGTACACCAGACATAGTTGGTGGAGCCGCGCAGGAATGACATGCCGCTCACCGATACCTTCACACCAAACACTGCATTAGTTAAGCAGTACAATGAGTTGTCTCAGTCAGAGCAATACTTTCACACCCAACACTGCATTAGTTAAGCAGTATAATAAGTTGTCTCAGTCAGAGACACTCACTGAGCAACAACAGCAACACTAACACACACCAAACACTGCATTAGTTGTGCAGTACAATGAGTTGTCTCAGTCAGAGCAATACCTTCACATCATCACTTGTACAATAATATGGTGTATTGTCAGGGTATGTATAAAATATAAACAAAATGATACAAGTGAAGAAACTAATGATAAAAATAAATGAATAATTCAGTGCAATTGAAAATAAAATGTAGGTAGGTACGGTATATGTTTTTTGTGGGTTGTGGAGGATGGGTCAGCAACAAGCATTCAGGACATGGTGCATACGATTATCAATTAATGCAAAACAATTTCTTATATGAATTGAGACATCAAAAAAATATTTTTTAATCAATAATATACTAATTCTAAAACTTCATGCATGATGACTGTTCAAAATGATTCAAAATTCTTTACTTAGGTACAGAGCAGAATTGATTATAATTTTCTTCTCGTTGAGTGCATGAACAAACAAATATCTGTGAAAGTACCTAATAGAAATGCACATAAGTAACTGCAAGGAATACCCTTGCATGTCCAGCAGAATCAGAATTAAAGATGACTCTGCAGGCAAGATGATGATTTTGAGCCAACAGCAGGCAGTTTTAGATAGTAGTGAGCATTTGAAGATCTTTCTTGTACATATGGTGCTGAATAAGAATAACTTCAACATTGATACAGCTGAAAAGAATAGGCAAGAACAATTTATCCACAAATTGAAGGTGTGAGTTCATGTTAAGTGTCTACTTATAATTTGTAACTGAAACTTTGAGTGCAATTCATCAGTACAACAGGCAGCAGTTTTTCAATGCAGGATTGTGGCTGCAAGTGAGATGATGGCAAGCTAAAAAAAATTGCAAATAAAGAGTGCATACCAAACATACTTTTTGACAAGTAGCCACAGAATGACAATATTCAAGTGCTGAGAAATGTATTTATCAGGCCAGCTGAAAAATCCTATAAAAGCAAGCCCAAGCCAGTACAGCAAATCAAGGGAACTTTGGAGGGCACTTGTACCTCTCTCTTACAGGTGTCACTTTTCTTTGTGCTCATTTCCTTGCTATCAAGAATGAGAAAATACTCTGTGGATATAGAAATAAAATAAACAAAAATATATACACACAAGCAACAATTAATATATTCCTAAATGGTTGAATAAAATTTGCTGGTCACAGAAAAATAATAAAAATTGTGTGCAACTGTGAATTGTATAAAATGTCACAACAATATAGCAATAATAATTATGTGTATGTACATCTTATATGAACTGCAAAACATAAGCTAGCTGACATAATCTGCTGAATCAAAGTAATTGATTACAACGAAGATTTGACTAGGAAATTCTGTTGGAGATGGCAACTTAGTTAGGGAGCACATTTAAAATATTCTAAACAATCTCTACAAATTTTTAACAGGCTCATTTCTTGGACCTGTGAAGGTCATAGCCCTCTAAAAATCTAGAGGTCATAGCCATCTAAAGAAAATGTTTCAGAATTTGCATCATAAAAATATTTATATATATCTTGTTTATCTATAAATGCCATGGAAACATTTATATAATACTGCTGCGCAAAAGGAATTGATTTGATTCTAAATTATTACAGAGTTTAGAAAAGTGAAGCCAAAGTCTTGATTTATGAACCAAAGTTTATCCGTTAATCAGGAATAAAATCATGTCAAACAAGACCATGGATAAGGTAACAAATTCTTAATATATGTACCCTATTCAATAATCATTAGTAACTTAATTATTCCTTAAAAGATTGAATGATGCGATTAAAATGTTTTCATGAGGAATTATGATGCCATGTGAATTTTCATGTGATTTGTGATTTCACATTCCTGATGGCTGATGCCAGGGCAGCCAGGCAGTTTCAAAAAGACCAATATTCAAAATAGCTTAATCAAACCAGAATGCAGACCAGATTTGAAGGATCAAGGTAACAAATGGTAAAAAAAATCAGTTTTCTAATATAGGTACAACAATAAAACAAAGAATTTTCAGTACATCCAAATAACAAATATACACCAAAAATAATTACCTATGGAAACTGATCTGGTCGTATAATAATCAAGGAGTTGATTCTCAAAAATGCAGAGTGATTAATATGTGAATCCCATGACTAATCTTGTAGTTTTGACTCTCACATCCCAGCAGATTTTGTTTCAATTCTCCTTCACCTTGTCAGCTCAAGGTCTTCTTGTTGCAGTCAATAGAGTGTGGATTCTGCAAAAAGAATTATTATCAGAAGCAGAAAGAATACTCAGAAACTTATTCTGTTGTGTGTATTCTAATCTGAAAAGTGAAAAGTATAAGTACCTAAATTGTAGGACCTTGGTGAATGGTGACTATCACAGTCTTCATACAAGTTTTAATTGATATTATGAAATCAGCATCCCCAGTATGAATGTTATGTTTCTGTTATACCTAAAATATTTACCCAACAACCAGAGACAATCTGAAATACTAAGGAAAAGACAAAAGAGCACAGCACTTAGGTAATCACAACAATAAGTTATTATAAGTAATGTTCATGAGCCATAATTAGAGCTTTCCCATCATTTTATTTTAGTGCTGGAAATTCATGCCAGATGAATTAATATTATCTCTTATTTAACTGACTAGGTAACTAATTCAGTAATTCAGAATGTGAAATTGAGCTGCGAAGTTTCAGTAAGAAGTAGGCTAGTAATTTTCCAGTCCTAATTATTGTTTTCATTTGCTGTCTGTATCACCACACTAAAAATCCCAAGTACCTACTTGTGTTTGGGGATAGTGATTGACTGGATTTAAGTAACACAGAAGCCCCAACACTTAAAAATTCATTAACCATGAGTCCATGACATTGCAAGTTGACAACAACAGTACAGCAACAGTGCAACAGAATTTGCGGAGTTAAAACTTTCCAATATAAACTCCGGTCTAGCGGAATTAAGGAAAACCAAAACGCATAGCCAGGATCCTCGATTATGAAGAAATGAGTTTAAATCATGGTTGAACTATTAGATATATAGTTCAACTATGGGTTTAAATAAGCCGTCATCGTTATATTGGTTTCGAAATATTAGTCTAATTGTTGAAATTTGTAGCATGTATTCAGTATTGGATTCTTCACTCCAATTTTACGACGATTAGCATGCTAATCGTTTATTTGAAAATGTATTCAGTATTGGATGATGCATTTTTATTTCACCACGATTAGCGTGGTAATTAAAATGCAAAAAATGACGGATTTAATTTAGTTTCATACTGAGTATATCTGATCGCACTTGATCGCATTAATTTTGTAAAGGGTGCATCAAAGCTAGACTGAATTGGACATAAATTATATTTTAAACTACCACTTATTATAATCCAGATTTTCGGAAATACACAGCTTAATTTTTTATTAATCACCATTTATTTAAACAAATTTGTTAATTTATTTCCTAGGATAAAAAGTTTATCGACAAAGGTTCGGGGGCATTATAGTTTACCCAGCGCCGCTATTGAATAGATTGTAAGGTTTTTCTTCAGAAAGAAAACATAGGAACCATAAAGTCTCTTCACTGACATCCTGTCCCCATGTCCAAATTTGTCCGTTCTCTTAAATATAATACCGCATAATTTAGAGTTGACGTTCATCGGTATCTGCCAATGGGGACGGCTTCAGCTCTGGCGTTAATTAATTAAACTCGTGGAATAATTTATACAATCCCCAGGATTAACGTATAGGTAAAAGAGTTACATTGATCACACATAAATCCCTGCCCAGTGCCCAGTAATATATGTATAATTTTACTGGCCTTTAAATCCTGTATGATAAGCGATTTGTAGTGTTTTCTTACCGTATAAATATTTCGAAGCTGCTAAGATCTTATTTGAGAGGTTTCTTTACATTCTGATTATGAATAGATAGTATATCATAATCGATTATTTTATAATTATAATCGGTTTATAATTATAGGCTGACGACACACGCAATGCGAAGTAGTCGTCACTGACGTTCGGATAGTTTTTAACCAACCAATATATGTTAATGTTTAGGTACATCAAGAATAGGGACAAGCTGTATATATTGTAGAAATGTTAGATTGGGTCACACTATGAAAAAGTTAAGGCCAAGCAGCGCACAGGATGAAAAATATCAATTTATATCCCGGATTGGTAGGCCAAGGTGGTAACCGGCTTCAATAAACATTCGCTTTCATCTATAAGCAGAAACTGTGTCAAATTAGGTTTTCTGTAATTGCTGAGTCTAAAATTGAGTCCATTTAGTGCTTCTTGAATGGGAAATGAAATAAAATTTCACGTTTTCAGTTGTTCAGTTGTTTTCAGTTGTTGCTAAGGAGAGAACAGTTTCCATAATCTCTTCCTAGATCTTCGTCCGATTGCCCTGTATTATCGACAATGTTTGTTATAACTACCAACAATTAAGCTCGCAGTATAAGTTGGAAAGTATATATTATATTTTTGTAATATTAAGATTATTTAGATTTATTTTGCCTGCTTGTGAGATTAGGTTCTCTTCTAAGATTCGTGCAGAAAACATAGGTACGCATGGGGCTAGGCTGTCTGGAGTCCAGGGTTGCTGAGCACGAACGGTATTCGCATTGCCAGACCCAGACCCTGACCTTGAACCCTACAGCTTGCGGTTGACTGCTCAGCGCTCACTTGCAGAGAAGAATCAATCATCCAATTAATCTTCTACATTTAATCTTCAGATGGGTTGTTGGTTAATTAATCTTGTCCACTTTATAGAATGAAATATTTTAACGGCTTATACCAGCAAGATTTAGACTCAATGCAGCTTTCACAAATTTAAAACGGATCCCATTTAAAACAAGTTGCTTGCGTTCAAGAAACTCTTCAGGCAATTCCGGTGCTTGAGACGAGTACTTGACACGAAGAGGTGATTATTAGAGAAGGAGTTCTTGAAAGGAAGAGGTGATTATTAGAGAGGGAGTACTTGAAAGGAAGAGGATGGTATGCTGGATACTTGAGAAAGTATTCGGTTCTGAAGTTGAGAAATATATAATAAATACATATAGTTGGTAAGTTAAACCAAAGAAAGTATTAGGTTCTGAAGTTGAGGAATACGTAATAAATACCTAATAACTGTTATGTTTTACAGCAATGATGATGAACTAAAAAGAAGTACCTATTAGATTTTTTGTTCGCTAATGAACAGCAAAATAAAAGCAGAGGAGATCCTTCTAATCGCAGAACTCAAAGATTGTAAAACTCATTTTATTGATTCTTTCGTTATACGTTGACGTTGCTGCTTATCGTCATGCACTTGATCTTGTCCATTATTGTTTGTTAAACACGAATTGATTTTTTAGTTATTTTTTGATCAAGATGATATCCACATTGTCACTTTCCATTGCCATTGATGTTGGTAGTGACGCCATCATTTTCGTCACTTTACATTGCTATTGATGTTTGGTAGTGACGCTATCCTTTTCGTCACTTTCCATTGCTATTGATGTTTGGTAGTGACGCTATCATCATCGTCACTTTCCATTGCCATTGATGTTTGGTAGTGACGCTATCATCATCGTCACTTTCCATTGCTATTGGTGTTTGGTAGTGACGCTATCATCATCGTCAATCTCCATTGCCATTGATGTTGGTAGTGACGCTATCCTTTTCGTCACTTTCCATTGCCATTGATGTTGGTAGTGACGCTATCATTTTCGTCACTTTCCAATGTCATTGATGTTTGGTTGTGACGCCATCATCATCGACAATTTCCATTGCTATTGGTGTCTGGTAGTGGCGCAATCATCATCGTCACTTTCCATTGCTATTGGTGTCTGGTAGGGACCATGTCGTGGGAATGGATCCCTCGGAGGGACCGCCACCGTCCCACTTCCAAGAAAGGGTCCCGAATATTGGCCAGACGCGCCCGCCGCTGCCGCAGAAAGTCATCCCGCGGTCACTTTCAACGGACACAAAACTCGCTACAGAAGAAGAAAGAGAACAAAAGACAGATCACAAGTTATATTAACAAAAATGAAAATAATTGAACATTGTTGAATTTTATCATTGGAGAAAATTAAAAAAAGAACTTTAAGAAGCTAGATACTATTTCATAAAA